GCACATCGGCAGTGAAAACGATATAATCATTCATTAGCTCAATCTTGAGTTTCAATTAGAAGAAGATCTTTTCAATTATGAGATTTGCATATGCAAATTGCACACGATTGCAGCTTTGTACAATCATCAACACGAAAAACATTGAATTGTATTGACTGACAATCAATGGTCCATTTAGGAAATTCTATAAGAGACTTTCAATTTAAGGTATCCGCCCATGCAAAATTAAATCATTATATTATTTTTTGATTTTCATATCATTTTTTTTTTTGTCTTGACTCAAAAGTTATTAAAGGTCTTTTGAGGAAGTTGACCTAATTTTTTTGTCCTCAAACTTTATAATTGGCCAATCCAAAATTCAAAAAGGGTGTCTAGTCACAGACCATTTGAAGAACACTAATTGTAGTGGTCTTTCATGCAGTGAGATTAAATTAAGCATATATTATCATTCATAATAATCATGAACACATCTTTATATGACATTCAATAACAAAGTTTCATAGAAAAGTATATATTAAACAAATTAGCTTTTATACATTCAGTTGTGAAAATATGATGAATATTATACACAATAAAAAGTACAAGTTAGAATTAACCCACTGATGTTACTYCTTTATCAGAGCAAAGCTTCATGCATACCCTTTTTATCAGTATTGAAACAAGCTGACTGACTCTCCTCTCTGAAGAGTAAAGCAACTCACTGTTATTCATTTGTAGGGAGATTTTGATCAAGCATTTCAATACTACTATCAAGCAACGCAGTTTGCTTCTCCAAGTTTTATTCTGCCTTATTTTGGTCTTGGACAAATGTACATTGCCAGACGTGACTCTAACAAYGTAAGTAATACCTAAAATATATTCACTTTATAAATTTAATATCATTATTTTAATAACATTCAAAAAATAAGAGGAATTTAATGTTATGATTGTGATCTGCAGTTTGTTGATAAGCCTAACAAGGTCATTTTGCATATTAAATACATATTGAATTTATCGATCATTGGACATGAGGATTGTTCAATTCCAGATAAAAATATTTATAACTTAATTAATAATCAATTTGAGTAGGAATTTCATAAACACAACACCTGGTTTTATAACTTCAAAAGAATCACAGATCTACTGCAAATCCAGCCATACTAACACAGGTCTTTCAATCATTTATATCTTGATTCTAAATGATAATTTAATAATATTATTTCTTTCTCATTCATGGAAAGCTTTTGATGTTAAATTCTAGGCTGCTCAGTGCTTTGAAAAAGTTTTGAAGGCTATGTCAGGCAATTACGAAACTATGAAGATTCTTGGTTCGCTGTATAGCCAGTCTGTAGACTTGGACAAGAGAGACACAGCAAGGGTTGGTTCTTGTTTTTATTGGCAGTATTTATGAAAGTGTATGAACAGCTTGGTAGTTACATGTATTACATGGGATTCCTGTGGAAGTGCATGTTTTAAATCAGCATGTGGTCTTGGTGAATTGACTATTCTTAGAATTACAGTACAGGCAGAAACAGTCTTTTGTAAGATGGAAAACAATAGAATTACCAATCAATTTACATATAGATTCAAGGCTAAGCCTGCTTGCACAGGATTTTTTTATTCATCTTATCCTCTGGAACACAGTGTAATCTTCTGGAGTGAGAAATGAACAACAGTCAAATATATATCAAATTATTCAAAATTCTACTAAATACCCCTGTTGCACGACTGAAAGGAAAGAACAAATGTGCACGACAGGGGCTTTTAAGGTATCTGGGGACAGTTGTTTTTAGTACCGATCATTACGAGGTTCAGAAATATTTTAGAGAAAATAGGGCTGGTTTGCAAAATATTCAAGTTTAAGTGTTTTCCAGGATTTCCCCATAACATGAATAAATTATACTTGATTTTCATGAAATCTATATATAACATATTTTGGTCTTTTATYCTTCATTTGACAAAATATTGACCGGATCAAAGCAAAATAAACTGCATTTCGATGCATTTCTTTTGTAATGGTGTATATCTGTCCCCAGATACCTTAATGTCTTTAGTGACCATGGTTAAAAGCTCTTCTAGTGTCTGGTTACTACTTTTAGTGAGRTCAGCTGATATTTTAACTTTGTCTTAATGTAGGATCACCTCAAAAAAGTGACTGAACAGTACCCTGATGATGTTGAAGCATGGATTGAATTAGCTGGAATTTTAGAACAGTCTGATGTGCAAGCAGCACTGGAAGCATATGGCACTTCCTCTAACCTTCTCAAAGAGAAAGTSCAGGCTGATGTACCACCAGAGATACTTAATAATGTTGGTGCTTTGCATTTTCGTCTTGGTAATTTGAAAGAAGCCAAGGTATATAAAATGTAGTGACTGTACTAAATGTAAGAACTAGAATCTTCTTCAATGCTTCTTGGTTATATTTGTTGTTGTTGGTCTGTGTTTGACTTCAAATGGGAGCAGAGGGAGCCAATATAATGACAAGATCAAGCGTGCATCACATCATTATAAAAATACTTTGATTCGTAAACAAATGTCTGAAACATTTCTTGAAGTGAGTATAACTGTTTTAATGGTATTCATTAAGAGTCACAAAAACCCAAGAATTATGAAAATATTCAAATAATAATATGATCAATTGATTGACATATGGTAATTTCTTTCTAAAGCGCTTCTATGAATCTGCTGTTGAGAGGTCTAAGCAAGAGTCGCACAATGATGAGGGTTACTATAATGCTATATCWGTAACCACCAACTACAAYTTAGCCAGGCTGTATGAAGCTATGTGTGAGATAGAAAAGGCAGAGCAACTGTACAAAAGTATCCTTAGAGAGCACCCCAACTACGTTGACTGTAAGTATAACCTTTCGTTYTACGAAGGAATGTAATATTGTTTGCATGTCATTTAATAAATAAACAAAATGATTCAAATGCAAATATTCTGTGTTACAATACGCTGATATTTAATGTAGATATAAATGCAGGGAGCATTCGAATGGTCTCTGGAGCAACTGAGGGCTTATACAAGCTCTCGACAAGCTCAGGAAAGCACGTGTAAATCTGAAAAATTTGAAAAGTCAAAAGTTGCRGCTGCACAAGCAATTTTTTGCTTTTTTCTGTGATTTTTTCAACTGTCGCCAGTGTGTTGGAGACGTGCACTGGATCACACTCTGCCCCAGGCGAGAACATTTTGGTGGTACCTAATGAACATCAGATGTTTCTGCTCCGGTTCTTGTTTTAGTTTGCCTTTCCCTGTATTCTAACTTTTCCTTGTGAGTCAGTGAAAAGTTTGAGATCTCCCCAGATCTCCTCAGATCATTTGCCTATTTTCTTGGCAGCAAAATGGATGGTGTTGTTCTATCACAAAGTATTCAAGACATAGCAATTCATATGATGAAATGACGAGATCTCTTACACATAAAACCTCAGCTTCGCTCTGCTCTGCAGCAGTTTGTTTTTGTTGTCTTTTCCTGCTTGTTTAAGTTCCTTTTGCTTYGTTAGAACTGCTTAGAATTTTCAAGTGAGTTCACAGTCTTTTACAAATGACTAGAATCGTCAAWCGTGCATGACTGTAACGTCAAGAGCAGGGAAGCCTGTCAAGTGCAGTTCACGTCAAATATCATATTATGTCCAATTGTCCACAGTAAAAAAAACTTTGTTTGTTTCCCTGATTGCTCTAGAACAGTGAATGAACGAAAATTTAACAAATACTGTTGCGGTGAATATGTTGCAGTATGTATATTTAATAAATAGTTGTACATGTGCATGACACTTAGGGGGAAAAAATCCATATCTCCAGTGCCCATCCTATATTTCTCAATATTCCTTAATAGCTAACTGACTTACACTCTAAGAGCATCTACTAGTTCATTTTGAAATAATCAACTGATATATTATATCTTACATTGCTTGATTCCTGAACTAGGTTACTTGAGGCTTGGATGTATGGCTAGAAATCGGGGGCAGATTTAYGAAGCATCTGATTGGTTCAAAGAAGCTTTGCAAATTAATCAGGTGTGATTTTAACATAGTTTGTAAAGTTGAGACTTGTGACAGACTACACCACAGTCTATTTATAAGTAATGATTGAGAATCCAAAAGCCATTTTGAAAATCAAAACTTTTTTTATTTCCCACAAAAATTAATTGAGGAGAAAATTTGGTGCTTGCGAATTAAAAAAATGATGTCTATTGCTGACATGTTTACACTTTTAGAGGCATCCAATTATAATTATATGGCACATTTTTCATGTCAAAATTCAAATCTGAGGTTCTCCAATTGTTCATGYAATTCAAACATTCAATTCTTCAATTCAAACATAAGATCCCTCRGTTCAACATGCCTTTCTTCAGTTCAAACTAGCAATTCTTCAGCCGAAAGAGCAATTCTGCAATCCAAATAATTATGCAATTCTTGAATTCCAACATGTAATTCTTCAGTTTTGAAACTATTATTTATCTCTGTCGGTGATAACCTGGTACTTTAACTGCTAAATGAAATATACTGGTCATAAATCTAGCAGTCCATTTCAAAAATGCGCATCACTTCGTTGTTCTCGATCGTTCTTCGCTTTATAACTTTACATGTTATAACATATAATTAATGTCTTTGACAAAACATCTCTGACAATCTCCAAGTTATGTTGTCATTGGCAGCTTGATTTATATATTATAAGAATTGCAATAAACCATAATTTGAAGATGATTTTCTTCTTTATTCCAATCAATGCTATTCTTATTGATTTATTAGTAAAGTCAAAAAGACGACTTATTACTAATCTAAACTTAAAATGTTGTTAAACTGAAGGATCACCCAGATGCATGGTCTTTGATTGGTAACCTTCATTTAGCCAAACAAGAATGGGGACCAGGACAAAAAAAATTTGAGAGAATATTAAAACAGCCATCTACAGAAAATGAYGCTTATTCACTGTTAGCACTGGGCAACGTATGGTTACAGACACTACATGCACCATCCCGAGACAAAGAAAAAGAAAAGAGACACCAGGACCGAGCATTGTCTTTATATAAACAAGTATTGCGTAATGATGGACGAAACCTGTATGCTGCTAATGGTGTAGGTAAGCAAACTCAATAAACAGTCAACTCTCTCATAAGCGACCACCTCGGGATCATAAAAATGTGGTAGCAACTTTGCTCGCAACCTAGTTGCAGGATACTGTGGACCAGGAACAGATCGTGAAATACCAGACCGCACTCTTGACTAGCCAGTCACAGCGTGCGAATGACTAGGATATCGGATTGGAAAAAAAAATAACAAGAACATTTGCACAGGAAACCCAACAATGATATTCACAACACAGGAGGCCCAAATAGTTCAAAACATGTTGTTCGTATTTCAGTCTATAAAATCTTTGAACAATTATACTGCTAAATTACAATTATAGTACATGTTTTGTCAAATACAGTTACATGAATGTTTACTGTGTATCAAAACATTGTGTGATAGATTCTTGCTTTAAGCTTTTTACATGTGAGTCCATTAATAGATAATTAAACATTCCTCAACATTTCTCATTTCCATGCCAGTCCATAAATTCTTGAAGTTGATCTTAATGTCCTAATTCTATTGTTTGTACACTATAGTGTGCAGTTAACTCTCTTTGAACGACCACTCTCGTAAGCAACCATCTCCTGTTTTGTTTCCCATATAATTAAACTCTGTAAAAAAACTCTCTCGTAGTCGACCACTCTTGTAGGCGACCACCCACGGCTGACGCAATAAAGGGGTGTGTTTAATTTGCTGACAAAGCTTACACAAATTACATTTCTGGTTACTTTAATTAATTTATCTAATTTATGGTTAATTTACAGTTTGTACTCTATTAGTAACAGCAAAGGAATTTGTCTTTATAAGTAAATTAAACACCTATCAGTCGTGCTTGGTCGCTTAAGAGAGAGGGAAAACTATGAAAAATTCCACAATTTCGATGGTTGCCTAAAAAAGTGGTCATGAGAGAGTTTTTTTAAAGAGAGTTTAAATTTAAAAGGTGGTGGATTATGCGAGATGGTCGCTTACGACAGTGGTCGTTCAAAGAGAGTAAACTGTATTGGAATTTGTTTTCCATTACATACTATTTATAGTAGCTTGTGAGGTGCTGGGCATCCGGTGTCAATATTGCTCATCATTAATCAAACTGTCAATAGAAAAACTTTTTTCAACACCTTAGTTTGTACACACTTAAAAGACCAATGAATTTCAAAGTTGTAGTTATGAAAAACAAAATTTGACTTTCTTCCTTATCCAGCATGAATCATGTTCAGATCTGGAAAAACAAAATTAACCATGTGGTGAATTAACTGTGTCAATGTACTATTCTCAAGGTTGTATTCTCGCTCACAAGGGATATCTACGAGAAGCACGGGACGTTTTTTCTCAAGTAAGTATTTCCTCCATCCTTTCGATTAACACCTTCAGTTAGCCTCCTCCGCAGGCATCACTAAGAATCGCGGGCTTCCTGTCTTTTTGAGGAGTCAAAAGAGGGAGAATGGGGGCGAGAAAAGGGGAGCGTGTGATGGCAACTCCTCCTCTTTTTATTTTTGCTATCTCGTCACTAGTCCCTAATGGCCAAAATGACCGTTACAAAGGAAGCCCAAAGGAGGAAAAAAGAGTTGCCTGTGGAGGAGGCTAACCTTCAGTCATATTTGAGAACAAAATATCACTTTTAATTAATAAACAATGTGATTGTTAAAAACGTTTAAGTTAAATGACCACTTGCCAACATGGTTGACTTTATRGCTCAGTTGGTTGAGCACAGCATTGGCATCACTGGGGAAATGGATTCAATTCCCATGACCAAGACCAAAGCGTTTTTGGAGCAATCGTTTAAAATATTAGCAATCAAATATTGTTTATTTCACAGCAATGATTATTTTAATTGCATCAGAATTTATATTAGATTCAGAAGTAAATATAGGTGTAAGATTCCTCCCTGGGTAATTATGATGTCTATTGGCCTCAGGCCCTTGTCTTTAGAAAATTTCAAACATAAACTCTTTAGTACCATTATAGAACGTTTACATTTTTAAAATTTTTAAAACGTATTTTAGRAGTTCACAACTTCAACAATATGGTGAACTTGGTAGGGTACCTTTAATTGTTCAGATTTCTACTCTGGTGGCAAAGTATTGTTTACGCATTAAAAATCCAGTATTTAATTCTACCCTTGTCGGAAAAGCTGCAAAGTTTTGTATGCAATCCAATCAACAAGGTGTAGCTTTTACAATCCATCTTCTTTACATTTGTGAGTTATGTGAGTTAAAACCTATTAATGATTTATCAAAAGACTTCAAATTCATTAATAATTCATAAGGTTAACACAATGGAAAATAATTGCCATGACCACATCTTTATATGAGTAAGAGATTTGTCCTGATTTGCATACGACTTTAACTTCAATTTTCTCTTACAAATGATATTTTATCCTGAAGTTTTTTGCGAAATATGCTTAAAATACCTTATGTTGGAATTTGATAAGCAATATAAAAAATATTCGTGTCCGACCTTTTTTCACTTGCAGCTCGCAGTTTTAAATGCCCATAAAGGTCTCCCGCTCATATTAAATATTTAAAATTTTTTATATATTTATACTTAAAAAATTGTGGGAAATTTATTAAGTCAAAATTACATAATAATTTTTCTCTCCACTGGGCTGAACATCTAAAAAAAGGAAGCGATAGCGGAAAACTTTGCGCCCTTTATAAGATTAAGAAAAATTTTGGTTTCGAAAAGTATTTAGATAAAATCGTTAAATACATTGTTAAATACTGTCAAGGAGTCAGCACATAGGTTACCTGTTGAATCAGGTCGTTACTCTAACATAGGCTATTGCGATCGGACATGTAACCAATGTGATTCATCTGATGTTGGTGATGAATTTCATTATTTTTTAAATTGTAATCATGATAAATTTGTAAATTTAAGAAAAAAGTTTTTTGATGTTTTAAGTATTTCTTGCCCACATTTGTGTAAATTTAGTTTACTATTAGTTTATTATTATTTAGTTAATTATTGTTTGTAATATTCTTAATTGTTTATTGATATTTTGTATCCTATGTATCAATTGGTATAGAAAGGATTAAAGTTATTATCATACACATAACTTCATATGATAACCAGCATTTATATAACCAGTATTATAATATTCCAGTACTCCTTTCCCCAAACAACTCCTGACCATCTTTCACATCTTTATGCCAGACTTACTTTCTTCATTTAATTGTTACATATTATTTGCACGATGAACATATGTTTATCTTTGAATGGTTTCAGTTGTTGTTGTTGTTTTTAGGTTAGAGAAGCTANCCTGTGGAGGAGGCTAACCTTCAGTCATATTTGAGAACAAAATATCACTTTTAATTAATAAACAATGTGATTGTTAAAAACGTTTAAGTTAAATGACCACTTGCCAACATGGTTGACTTTATGGCTCAGTTGGTTGAGCACAGCATTGGCATCACTGGGGAAATGGATTCAATTCCCATGACCAAGACCAAAGCGTTTTTGGAGCAATCATTTAAAATATTAGCAACCACATATTGTTTATTTCACAGCAATGATTATTTTAATTGCATCAGAATATTAGATTCAGAAGTAAATATAGGTGTAAGATTCCTCCCTGGGTAATTATGATGTCTATTGGCCTCAGGCCCTTGTCTTTAGAAAATTTCAAACATAAACTCTTTAGTACCATTATAGAACGTTTACATTTTTAAAATTTTTAAAACGTATTTTAGGAGTTCACAACTTCAACAATATGGTGAACTTGGTAGGGTACCTTTAATTGTTCAGATTTCTACTCTGGTGGCAAAGTGTTGGTTACGCATTAAAAATCCAGTATTTAATTCTAACCTTGTCGGAAAAGCTGCAAAGTTTTGTATGCAATCCAATCAACAAGGTGTAGCTTTTACAAACCATCTTCTTTACATTTGTGCGTTAAAACCTATTAATGATTTATCAATATCACTTAAAGACTTCATTAATAATTCATTAATAATTCGCAAGGTTAACACAATAAAAAATCATTGCCGTGACCACATCTTTATATGAGTAAGAGATTTGTCCTGATTTGCGTACGACTTTAACTTCAATTTTCTCTTACAAATGATATTTTATCCTGAAGTTTTTTGCGAAATATGCTTTACCTTATGTTGGAATTTGATAAGCAATATACAAAATATTCGTGTCCGACCTTTTTTCACTTGCAGCTCGTATTAAATATTTTAAAATTTTTATATTTATACTTAAAAAATTGTGGTAAATTTATTAAGTCAAAATTGCATAATAATTTTTCTCTCCACTGGGCTGAACATCTAAAAAAAGGAAGCGATAACAGAAAACTTTGCACCCTTTATAAGATTAAGAAAAATTTTGGTTTCGAAAATTACTTAGATAAAATCATCTAATACATTGGTAAATAAATTTCATTATTTTTTAAATTGTAATCATGATAAATTTTTAAATTTAAGAAAAAAGTTTTTTGATGTTTTAAGTATTTCTTGCCCACATTTGTGTAAATTTAAATTAAAATGTTGAGCTATTTCTATATCTAWTTCTTATGCATGACGAATCTACTATAAATTTAATATGTCCTAAATATTGTTATGATTTTTTACAACTATATAATGAACATTAGTGTTGTTTCATTTTTGTACACTTGAAACTTATACATTGTAATCTATATCATTTTTGATAGTTTTATTATTTAGTTAATTATTGTTTGTAGTATTCGTAATTGTTTATTGATATTTTGTATGTATCAATTGGTATAGAAAGGATTAAAGTTATTATCATGCATAACTTCATTATGATAACCAGCATTTATTGCATTTATTGTCTCCGAACAACTCCTGAGCATCTTTCACATCTTTATGCCAGACTTACTTTCTTCATTTAATTGTTACATATTATTTGCACGATGAACATAATGTTTATCTTTAAATGGTTTCAGTTGTTGTTGTTGTTTTTAGGTTAGAGAAGCTACAGCTGACATACCAGATGTTTGGCTCAACCTTGCACATATCTATGTGGATCAGAAGCAATATGTATCGGCCATTCAGATGTATGAAAATTGTTTGAGGAAATTTTACAAACACTACAATATGGAGGTTATGCTGTACTTAGCTAGAGCRTATTATAGGATGGGAAAACTGCAAGAATGCAAGCAAGTGCTTATCAAGGCAAGATTATATAGATAACATTCAATTCATGGGTTTCATGTGATGTCAAAAAACAAACTCTCTAATATGCATATTATTTATATGGTGATGCAAGTATTAAAAATGACTTGGTTCTTGAGATATCAAAGTCTGAATTGTCACGCAATTTTATTGTATATTATAATGAAATGTCAACAAAACTTCAAATTTCTTTTATTGTAAACCCTTGAATACAGATAGTGGTCAAATCTGACCTCCGTCTATACTTTTTCATTGCAAACAATTCCACAACCACATACTCTGTTCCCAATTCTAATATGTTGTCTCATTGTTTTCATATGCTCTAAAAGTATATGAAGGTCATATTTTACAGGTGTTTACTGTAACACGTAGGGAGTCGAACGAAAAATCCTACTGGATTCATGCATTTTACAGATGTCAATCATAAACATTTCCATGACTACCGTTGGATTGCTCCTCCCCCAACATGAATTGGTTTCCTCGAATTTCAACAAAACTAGCCAAGAATGGTCAACATGGTTAAAGTGTTTTTAAATTCTAGTACTTTGTGTGTAGTGAAAATACAGACTACACAAATACACTTGATGTCAGAGAGAACAGCTCGGTAAATTGTGCTATTAAATCATCAAGTTTCGCAACCAATGCTTCACTAACACACAAAAGTACTACAAAATTTCTGAAATACTTAGCTCTCTCCGTTTGAAGAATTATCACTCTTCAATGCAAAGAATTTGAAAACACTTTGACCATTCTTGGCTAGTGTTGTCGATATTCGAGGAAACCAATTCATGTTGGGGGAGGAGCTATCCAATGGTAGTCATGGAAATGTCTATGATTGACATCTATAAAATGCATGAATCCAGTAGGGTTTTTCGTTCAACTCCCTATGTGTTATCCGTAACGGCTGTAATGCAAGTAAAAGCAAATTTGAGATGACGTCATTGAAACTTTTATACTTATTTTAGGCGCGCCATGTTGCTCCCAATAATACAATATTGCTATTTAACCTGTCCTTGGTCCAGCAAAGACTTGCTACAGCCATTCTAAGGGCAGATAAAAGTCCTTTAAAAGTAGTGTTAGGTGCTGTAAGAGAACTTCAACAAGCTCAAAAGTATGTATTCACTTTGATTATAATTATCATGATTACTAAATACAGGGCTGTCATTTATCTGATAAATCAAGAGTTATATCCCTTGTCTCAAGATTACATTATACAATATGTAGAGATTACAATTATTCTGTGAATGGTAACTGAACCAAAATATCTAAAGTCCACTGTTCAATTCAGTCTTTTTATTCACAATTTAAAAAAGGAAAAATTACGAGTACAACAGTGAGTTATAGCACACAAGATAGTGTTACCTTTAGGAAAATGAGTGTAATAAAAGAAGATCCGATGGAATACAGTTGAATCTCCCGTAGGCAGACAGCCTTGGGAAACGAAAAAAGTGTYGGCAAGTAGAAATGTCCGTCTAATAGAAATGGATCTTAAAACGGCTAAATAACGTCAAATACTCTTGTTTAATAGTCAAAAAAACATTCCTTATGATTAGAAGTGGCAGGTGATTATCACTTTATCGGCGATGAATTTTCAATAAATTGGCTAAAATCCAAACTCAAGAAAGAAGGCCATACTAGCCTTACCATTCACAAGCTTCACTATTACTACATTACAGTTACTTTACAGACACAAAATCTTTTAGTACTTTTTAATTTTTTTTATATTTTGATAAGATTGGAGATTTCTTGAGAATGATTGAAGATTGGACGTATAATTTACAAATACACTACAATACTTTAACAGCCTTTGCATAGTGTATCAGTACCTTGATGTCACTCTGTATCTTTATAGAAATTTCTCTTGGTTAAGTCACCATGGAGACCGCATGAAATTTGATCTTGCCTGGGCAGCCTTTGAATCAAGGTAAGCACATAGCATATTTATTTCTTGGCAGTGTACTCACTGCATTTATTGACCATATGAAAAACGAGCAGAAGACTGGGAATGAGCACCTTAAACGGTCCATGTTTTAAAAAATCTGTTTTCACATCAAGAAAGATTGTATTTAAACTAGTGATTTAGCATAATTTAAGTTTCAAATGGCAAAAAATTGGCAGAGCTATGAGGACTTGAAGCGCACCAAAAACATGAAAACGAGGCTGGTAAGGCCTCGATACCAATTTTTGCAATTTCAAACGTCTGTAATTTGTGGTCCATAAAGGTTAGAGCATTGATACTTTCAGATCTTACTCATTATAATATGTTCTTTGAACGGGCAGCAATGACATATCAAACAACTTATACTAAGGCATTACGATAACCACGCCCTTTTTCATATGGTCTATAGGATAGAATGTGGAAAATAGTGCGAAAAAGTGTGATTCAATCAGAGGGTGGAGAATATATTTGGATATTAAATTGAAAAAATATGATAATGCCTTATGGTATAAAGAGGGTCCTGAAAGGGGTAAATTGGGATTTGCCATTGGGATTGGGATTTGGATATTTCTTGTCCATTGGCTTTCTCTTTAAATGCTAATATAATGTTTTAGTAGACTAGAAGAGAAAATCGAACTATCTTGGGCTTCCTGTGGTTGGTATTCAATGTGGGATTCCTTTAGTTAATGTTTGAGCTTCCTGTGGAAAATGTCTCCAGATTCAGAGATAACCCCATGATGGTAAACATACCTGAATGTCACCCATTTTACACTTCATTTAGTTAAAGGGCATACTGTGTATTGATACTATATTTTCATTTCTACCACTCAAATTGGGATTTGTCACTTGGGAATTGGGATTTTAGTGAAAATTTTGCTGGGAATTGGGATTTTGATAAAAATTGATTGGGAATTGGGATTGGATACCCCCCATTCAGGACCCTCTATAAAGGCTAAACCCAGAATGCTAATATTCTCACCTGTGACTCAAATCCAAACATCCAGACAAAACATTCACTCTCTTTCTATAAACAACAACAATGAAAGCAAATTATCATTTTTAAATTACAGTAACTTTTATTTACCTCCAATATGTAGCTTACTAGTTACTACTAAGTTGTTCAAATAACACTACCACTAGTGGAATAAAATGCAATTGAAATGAAAATAGTTAGGAAGGTATAATGGTGGATGATAAGTGAAAACAACCTTTTTGAAAACTAGGCATACAAGTGACTTGTTGAGTCAAGCACAGTATCATGTGGCCAGAGCACGCAAACTTGATGAAGAAGAACGAGAACTACGACGTCGACAAGAAGAAGAGAAGCAAGCTATTAGGCGAACTCGAGAGGAAGCTTTGGTATGATATCTGAGGATTTGTTATATGGAGGAAGGGAAAACAATGGTCATTCAGGGTCGGGAATTAGATAAGTTTTTTTGATATTATTTTATTTTTCACCGTGATAATTTGTGTCTTCTAATTATTTCTGGACATTTCCATATTTCATCCTGAAATATTCAAATAAAGCTAATGGACTTTTTTGTTGTATATACGTTGTTATTAGACCCAAAACAAATCCTATTGGAAAAAAGAACTTATTATTTCTAAGAATAAACTGTGAAATGAAAAAACAGCAAACAGTCAAACTCACATGTACGCCCACATCAGGTGGAAGTTTATACACCTCGTTGAAAAAAACGTAGGATTTCAAAAGGTTACATCATGAAAGCTTGGACCGACAGGAGCATGGGGAAGCAAATATTAAATTTCACTTGAATTTCTGAGTACTTTCTTAATCCCCTTCGATGTTCAATGTGATGATCTTTTGCTACTAGACAAAGTTAATTTTATGTGGTATACATGTAGCAACTCATTGGCCAATTAAAGGCCATTACGCAACCGAAAACTGCTTTTCTCATATATGGAAAATCAATTGGTGAATTTATTGATGACCAGGTTTCTTTCTTGTAAAAATATTCAATAAATTTCCATAATTTTTACTTTTTAAAAGATGATATTACAAATAAAAAAGTTTTTAATTCCCTTTTTAGCGATCAAAACAAGAGCAAAAGGAACAGCAGGAGAGAGAATTGTTAGAAAAACGCCAGCAATTTGTTGAAGCGACCAGGAACAAACTTGTGTTTAGCAGYGAGCCCGAACCAGCAGCTGAAAAGAAGAAAGGAAAAAAGGTAATAAATTGCTTTTTGCCATGTTTTGGGTTAATATGTGTATTTTGTTTGAAGTGGTAAGTTAATTATTCCTTATTGTCTAAATTGAAAATCTAGAAAAATAAAGATGATGACCTTGTTGATGATTCAAGCAGTGATGAAATTGAATTTGGTGAAGATGGTGAAGCCAGACCAAAAGAGAAAAAAGAGAAAAAAAGGTGTGTAGAATTAATGAGATTTTCTGTCAAATAAAAACAACAAAAGGAATTAATTTAATTTTTTCATTTTTTTAGAAGAAAAAAACATGAAGATGGGGAAGGTGAAACTAGAAAAAGGAGGTAAGCTTCATTGCATCTCCTTTGAGAATACACTGGACATACTTAAAATTACCTAAATATCTAAAATGTACATTCGAAAATGCATACAGTTGACAAGTTCAGAAAAAGAAATTGTAGATTAGGCCATTTAGAGTCACTATTAATTTGTTCACGAGAATTTGGTCAATTGAGATTATACATAATTAGAGTGTGGATGTTAAGTGTGGATGGTAAGTGTGGATGTTAAGTGTGGATGATAAGTGTGGATGGTAAGTGTGGATGTTAAGTGTGGATGTTAAGTGTGGATGTTAAGTG